AGCCCTGTCTGCTCCAGAGCCCTGGGATGGACGGGAAGCAGTGCCAGGAGAGGAGGCTTCGACTGTGCAGCACAATGGAGAACAGGCAGCATCCGTGGGGGAGAAGGTCCTGGCTGCCACCGAGGCCCAGGGAGTAGGGAAGGAGGAGAAAGATGAGCCTGGGAAGACAAAAACTCCAGCTGTAGAAGAACCTAAGGGAGGCAAGGCAGCACCCATAGAGGGGAATGCTCCAGCTGCTGCCAAGGCTCAGGACAGGGGGAAGGGTGAGAAGGATGAGCCTGGGAAGAAGAAAGCTCCAGCTGCAGGGGAGCTCAAAGGAGAAAAGGCTCCAACTGCTGCCAAGGAGAAGGATGGAGAGAAGGATGAGCCCAGGGAGGAGAAGGCTCCAGCTCTGGGAGAGCCTGAAGGAGGGCAGGCAGCACCCATGGAGGCAAAGGGCCCGGCTGTAACTGAGGCTCAGGATGGAGAAAAGGACAAGCTCAGGAAAGAGCAAGCCCCTGGAGGCTCAGGGCCTGAGGCTGGTGGGAAAGCAGAGCCCACAGAGAAGAAGGTTCCAGCTGCAGCAAACTCTGAAGGAGGGAAGACAAAATCCACAGAGGAGACAGCCTTGGCTGCAGCTCAGACTCAGGATGGAGGCAAAGGAGAGCTTGCAAATGAGGAAACCACAGCGGTTGCAAAGGAGAAGGTCCCAGCCACTGCTAAATCTTCAGATGGAGGGAAGCAAGCTGCAAAGGTAGAGCAAGCCCCAGCTGATAACAAGGCTCCAAAGGAGAAAATTACAGCATCTGTGAAAGAGAAGGCTCCAGCTTCTGCAAAGGCTCAGTGTGGGGAGAATAAAGTGATAAAGGCAGAAAAAGCCCCAGCAGTAAAAAAGACTCCAGATGGAGGCAAAGAAGAGCCTGTGAAGGACAAGGCTCTAGCTCCCACAAAGGACAAGGCTCCAGCTCCTGAGAAGGAGAAAGCCCCAGCTCCAGTGAAGGAGAAAGCTGTAATTCCTGCAAAGGAGAAAGCCCCAGATGCTGCCATGGCTCAGGATGGAGAGAAGGCAGCAGCAAAGACAGAAAAAAATTCAGCTGCAAAAATGGCTCAAGGTGGAGGTAAAAAAGAGCCTGCAAAGGAGAAAGCCGCAGCAGCAGGGAAGGTGCAGGATGGAGGGAAGAAAACTGCAAAGGTAGAAAAAAACACAGTTGCATCAAAGACTGAGGATGAAGGGAAAGATCCTGCAAAGGAGAAGGTCCCAGTGGCTGCAAAGGCTCAGGATGGAGGGAAGAAAGCTGCTGAGGTGGAGGCCCCCGCAGCTGCAGCAGAGGCTGGAGATGGGGCTGAGGAGCCCACAGAGTCAGCAGCCATGGTTACTGTGAAGGCTCAGGGTGAAGGGGAAGAAGAACCAAAGGGGACGGAGAAACAGCCACCAAAGGTCCCTGAGCCCCCACGCCCAGCTCTGCTGCAGAGCCTGAGCTGCCCGGCCGCTTGCCACAGGTACCCTCACCCTCCTGGGATGGGGGGATCCCCCTCGCTGCTCCAGGGAGCTCTGGGTCCCTCCAGGCAGAGGTGGGTGCTGGGCTCGGGGGCTGCTGGCTGGGCTCTGCTCACCTCCCTCTCCTGCTTCCAGGGAGGAGCAGCCCTGGGCAGAGGTGGCAAAGATGGAGATGATTCCAGAGGAAACCACGGCGGTGGAGCCAAAAGAGGGTCCGACAGAGCCTGGCCCTGCCCCACCAGCCATGGGGGACCTGCAGCCCCATGGCACCCCCCAGGAGAGGACATTGCCCAGTGCCACAGGGCAGCCCCTGGATCCCGCTGGGGTTGTGGAGCAACCTGGACCTGAAGGGCAACCACCCTCGACAGAGGCAAAGCCACCCCCCAGCCCCTACCTCACCCCTGATTTTGGGAAGGAAGACCCTTTTGAAATACTGGGTAAGGACATGAGGTTGCCTGCCTTGTCCTTGCCCCCCTGGACCCTCTGTGGGATGACAGACCGGGGACCCCATGGCCCTGCCTGCTGTCTGCACAGCCCTCCATGCTGCCAGCTCCTGTCCTTGGCTTGTCACCTGCCTGGTGGCCTTCGAGCTCCCCTTTCACTGTAAACAGGGCTAAATGTGTCGTGTCCCCTCCCGGGCTGTCCAACAACACTGACTGTGAAGAAGAGGAGCCTGGGGAGTGACAGTGACCTTCTGGCCAGTGTCAGGGCACAGTATGTCCCTGCATCCTGCACCACTGTCCTTGTGGGGATGGTAGGGCTTGGGGGCAGTGAGTGCTTGGTGGGATCCCTGTGAGGTCAGCTCCTGGACTCGCCTGGGAAAGGGTGGCTCAGGAATGAGTACATGGGGTACCCTGTGTGTGGGTTCTGTCTTGGGAGGGCGAGCAGGAGGTGGTAGTGTGGAGGATGAGTGGCCTAGAGTGGGTGGTAGGCAGCAGAGTGGCCTGGAGAGGGCAAACGTGACACGTGGGATGGTGGGAGTGGATGCCATGGAGCAGGGTGGGTGCCACGGAGCAGGATGAGTGCCATGTGGTGGGGTGAGTGCCATGGTGCAGGGTGGGTGCCATGCAGCAGGGCCATGCTGTGGGCGGTAGCAAGGGACCCTTTGGGGGATGCTCTGTCCCCAGTGCAGCCCCAGCCAGGAGCCCCTGGTTTGCAGCCCAGTACTCTACCCAGCTGCATTCTGCACCCACGGGCTTGGCTGGGTGTCTGCCTTCACCCCACACCGGGGCACCCTGGGGTGCTCAGCAGTGGAGTCTCCAGGCCAGCAGACTCCCTTCTCATCCCATCCCTCCTCTCTGGGCAGACGATGTCCCTCCGCCACCAGCGCCCTTCGAGCATCGCGCTGTCACCCTGCACTCTGGCAGCGTCAGCTCCCAGTTCAGCCTCAACTCCAAGGACATCCTGGGCGGGTAAGGAGGGGCCCCAGAAGGGGGAAGGATGCCCAGCTTCCCCTGGCACTGCCCCAGGTTGCCCTCCAGCCTTGGGCATTAGCTATGAGTTGATGGGACTCCTCTGGTTGTGATGGGGGGGGTACCTGGGGCAGAATGGGTGCAGAGGGCAACATTGGGCAGCACCCCAGGGCAGTGCTGGGGTCCCCAGAACCCTGGGTGGCCGATGGTGTGGGCACCTCTCCTTCTCTCCCTCCCCAGGGGCAAGTTTGGTGAAGTCCACACGTGCACGGAGAAGGAGACGGGGCTCAAGTTGGCAGCCAAAGTGATCCGGAAGCAGGGACCCAAGGACAAGGTCTTAAAGACGCTGGGCAGGGGGTTCCTCATGGCCATGGTGGCATGGCCGAGGTGGGGGCTGGCGGCGGTGTGTCCTGTGTGCCCCTGGTGCTGTGACAGCCTGTCCTGGTGGCACTGCCAGGGCTGACACCCCACACCACCACGGGGCTCCTTCCACAGGAGATGGTGCTGCTGGAGATCGACGTGATGAACCAGCTGAACCACCACAACCTCATCCAGCTCTACGACGCCATCGAGACACCCCGGGAGATCATCCTCTTCATGGAATTGTGAGTGCTGGGGCCTGATGCCTGGCTGAGGGGCACCATTATGGGGGATACATCAAAGTTAGAGCAGATGTGCCAGCCCCTGACCAAGCAGAAGGTTGGCCCCAAGGAATATCCTCTCCTTGCCCACCCCTTCTTGGGCATCTCCCTGCTCCAGGCTGAGAGACAGGCTCGGGCTCTGCCTGGCCGGGACAGCATCTCCCTCCATCATAGTTGCGTTGAGGGTGGAGATGAGCCAGGTCCTTCTGGCACAGCTCCCTTTCCTCTGCCCACTTGCCCCAAGGAGGCTGAGGCTGTGCTGGGGCTGTTCTGCTCTACAAACCGCAGGGCAGCTGAGGTGTCCTGGGGTAACCCCCTGTGCCTGCCTTGGGGGTGTCCAACCCCAGCACGCACACATCCCACCGTGGATGCTCAGCATCTCCATGGTGGGGCTGGGTCAGGGTCCCTGGGGGGGACAGGGGGCTCTGCAGGAGGATGGTTTGGGGCAGAGAGCCCCCCTAAGGTGACCTCATGATCCTTCCCCGTGCAGCGTGGAGGGTGGTGAGCTCTTTGAGCGGATCATCGACGACGACTACCACCTGACAGAGGTGGACTGCATGGTGTTCGTCCGGCAGATCTGCGAGGGCATCCGCTTCATGCACCACATGCATGTCCTCCACCTCGACCTCAAGGTGCAGGGCTGGGGGGTGACAGTGGCAGGGGCCGGGGGGACAGCAGAACACCAGCCAGCTGTGGGAGGGATGTCTGTGGGTCAGCATTGCTCTGGTACAGGTCAGCCACAGGACCTGTGCAGTGGGGATGTCCCCTCTTGGTGGGGGGGACAATGGTCACCCTGTTCCCACAGCCTGAGAACATCCTCTGTGTCTCTGCCACCGGACACATGGTGAAGATCATCGACTTTGGGCTGGCTCGAAGGTGAGATTTTCCCCCTCAGCTCCCTCCCTTCTCCTGTCCCACACCTCTCTCTGTGCCATAGGGGTACCGGTAGCCCCAGGACACACTCTAGGCCATTGCTTTGACCACAGCTCTCCCTGGCTGGCATGGGAGGGTTGGGGAGGGTAGCATCTGCTGGAGAGGAACAGTGGTTTGAGGGAGCAGCCTGTCCCCCTCCTGCTGACTTTCCCCCCCCCCCCGGCTGCAGGTACAACCCCAACGAGAAATTGAAGGTGAACTTTGGCACCCCTGAATTCCTCTCCCCTGAGGTGGTCAACTACGAGCAGGTCTCCTACACCACAGACATGTGGAGCATGGGGGTCATCACCTACATGCTGTATGTCAGGGCTGGGTGAGGGCTGCCAGGGCTGGGCTGGGTGGCCGGGGTGCTGGGACAGAGCTGCCTGGGGTGCAGAGCTGTCCCCAAGCACTCAGCTGCTTGGTGGGCAGGTGGGGGTGCTGGATGGGGAGAATGGCAGATGGGGCTGTGGGAGGGTAGGAAGAGGCTCAGCCTGGCTGCAGGCAGGAGCACAAGACAGTGCCAACAGCCCCACATGACCTCCCTGGGGCAGCCCTGGCCAGACTGGCTCCATTCTGGGGGGTCTGGAAGGTGCTGAAGTCTGAAAGCACCCAGCTTCTCACTCTCCTGCACCCCCAGGCTCAGTGGTCTCTCCCCCTTCTTGGGTGATGACGACACCGAGACTCTCAACAACGTCCTGGCTGCCAACTGGTACTTCGACGAGGAGACTTTTGAGAGCGTCTCCAATGAGGCCAAGGATTTCGTCTCAAACCTCATCATCAAGGATAAAAGGTGTGAAGTTGGCAGTGGCCACCAGGGTCCTAGGGTGGGCATCCCCAGAACTGCCCTGGGTACCATGCACTGCTTCTGCAGCAACCCCTGGGTCCTGCACCCAAGGAACCCCACGGGGCCCTGCCCCACTGCCGACTGTCCCCAACAGAGTCCCACATCCCTCCAGGGGACACCCACCCCAAGTAGGACATGCTGGATCCCCCAGGGTCCTGCTCAGCCCCACTGGTCCCTGGGCACAACCTTTTGGCTGGGTCCTCCCTGCAGGTTTTTCCTCCCTCTGGATTTTTGGGGTCTGGGGAAGCTGGAGAAGGGGGTGGTTGGAGGGAGGAGGCTCAAGCAGGGATGACATGGGCTCCTCTCACCCTCAGTGCCCGGATGAGCGCTGACCAGTGCCTGCAGCATCCCTGGCTCAAAAATCTGGCAGAAAAGGCCAAACGCTGCAACCGGCGCCTCAAGTCCCAGGTGCTGCTCAAGAAATACGTCATGCGACGGCGCTGGAAGGTGCGGGGGGCAGAAATGGGGATGAGGGTCAACACCTTCTGAGGGGGATGGTAGAGGGGCTGCCAGCCTCTGTCTGTCCTGGTGGATGGCATCTGGCACGTGGAGGGTGGCTCTGTCTTGCTGTGCAGAGGGATCTTGTCTGGCAGCCTGGAGGGAGGGCTTCCCAGCTCCAGAGTCTTTGTGTGGGTGCCCACAAGGTGAGACCCCCACCAAGGATAGATCCCTTTGTGGTGGTCTCTCCTGAGTGGATCCCAAGACCTGCTTTTAGGGGCAGGAGTGGTGTCAGGACCCAGAATGGGCTCTGGCTCAGCCTCCAGGGCCACAGCCCTCGCAATAGGATGAGCACCTTTCCTCTTCCCTTTCACAGAAAAACTTCATCGGGGTGTGTGCTGCCAACCGCTTCAGGAAGATCACCAGCTCAGGGTCCCTGACGGCGCTGGGTGTCTGAGCTGGGGCTCCCAGGGGGGTCGAGGCCAGAGAGGAAGCGTTTGAGAGAGTCCCACATCAGACTTGCTTTTAGACAGCAGCAGGACCTCTCTGGGGTCCCAGCTGCCCACTGAGGGGCCAGGAGCTGGAGCTGCACTGTGCCCTCCCTGCCCGTGCTGTGCCGGATGCTGCTCTGATGCCCACATCACACCTCTGCTCTGTGCCACTGCCACCACGAGGCTGCTCTGCTGCATCCCTGGAGCTGCCCCTGTCTGGCATCCAGCAGCTGTGGGACTGCTTGGGGGCCAGGACCCCGCTGGGATCCTCACCTGCAGCAGCTCTGCTGAGCTTGTACCACTCCGGGCAGCATTTCTGAGCTCAGGACCCTCTGCTGAGGGCTCAGGCTCAGGACCTCTGGGGCTCCTGGGGCTCCAGCCTACGCCATTCCCATCGAGCCAGTGGCCCCACTGATATGTCTTTGGACTGTGAGGCTGCTCTGGAGAGGAGGTTTCTGATCTCACCCCTGGCCTGGCTGTGTGATGCCCGACCCGCAGCGTCTCTGCTCTGCTCACGCTTCCTTCCCGTGCCCTTGGAGGAGGAAGGTCATTCCGGTGTGATCCCTTTGCCTCGGCCACCTGGTGCTTGCTGCTCTTGGACCCAAAACGTGCCCTCTGCCTGTAAATGCTGCAGCCCTGCCCTGCCTTCACTGCCGCTGGACTCTGTGCTGCCCGACCTCCCTTCCCAGCTCTGTGGCTCGGCAATGACGCTGGAGGGAACCGTGGACCCTCACCCTGGTGCCTTGGCACCGGAGCCAAGGCTGAAGCACCTCCTCCCTGGCCGGCTGGGCATGTGGGAGCGGAGCTGGCCCTGAGCTGCTGCTCGCACAGGAAGGGAGGAAGCAGCAAGCACACTTCCAGAGGCGTCCCCAGCTGGGAGCTAGCGAGAGAAGAAGGAGGCTTTGTGTTCCTCCTGCCCTCCCTGCCCTTCGACTCTGCCAGCGGGGGAAAAACACAACCTCTGCTTCACCCGTCCCCGCCAGATCGCGATGAGCGAGGCGGGCTAATGCAGAGCAGCTGGCCCGCGCTCCCCGCTCCGGCCAGCGCCGCTCACCCGACCACCAACACACCGGAACCGCTCCGGCTGCGGCCGCCAGCTCCCCCCGCCGCGGGCGGGGGCTCCCCGGGACCTGCTGGGGTGGGGGAGAGGGGTGCCGCCCCTGCTCCCCCGCCTCACCCTGACCCCCGTCCCCTCTGCCTGCACCCCTCAGGGCTCCCCCGGTGCTCCCAGAGGATGGGCATCCCTTGGGATTTGCAGCGTCCAGCCTTGGCCCATGGTGGGAGTGGATGGGGGACTGGCAAGAGGTGCCTCAGTTTCGGCTTTCCCCACGGCTGAGCCCACCCAAGCAAGGGCTGTGTGTTTGCTCTGGGGTCACCTGTGTCCTCTGTGTCTGCTGGAAAAAACCTGGGGAAAGACACAGGGAGACAATGGCCCCCCAGCCCCACTGGCTGCAGCAGGGGAAGGGGCTTCAGGCTTGTCCCCACTGGGCAGGGGCCACAGCTGGTGGGACCCTGCCCCACAATGGAGCCCTGCTCGGCGCTTGCCTTCTTGTAAATAAATGTACAGGTCTGCCCACAGCCCACACCTGCCATTCTGGGGGCTGAGGAGACCCCACTCCCACCCACAGGGGCCCTGCAGCCACAGGATAAGTGAGATGAGGAGGGGAAGCAGCATCCATGAGGCAGAGGGTGTGGAGAGGGTATGGTGGGGATGGGGACCACCTGGTACATCCCAGGCAGGGCTGTGCAGGCACAGAGCCAAGGGGTTCTGGTCTCTGCACTCCCCAGCCCTGAGCTGTGCTGGGGGAAGGGGAAATGCATGGATGGGTGGATAGATGGATGGATAGTCAGTCATCAGTCAGAGGTGTCCTCACAGCTTCAGCATCTGCCCACATGGGGTGGGATGCCCAGGCAAGGGCTGGTGGGTGCTGGTGCCCCTCTGTCCAGGGGGTCTGCAGCCAACCCCGAAGTGGTTAAGGCTGCCAGAGCCCAGACTCCGGCTCCCACCACGGGCGTCCCTCCCAGCAGCTTCCTGCCGGCAGCCTTTGACCGGTTCCTGTCGGTGACCACCCCGCAGGCCTGGACGCCAGCACAGCCCCATCTGGTTTGAGTTACGCTCCGGCGGTGACGTCTCCTTCCTGTCTGGCCCCAGGAGCTGTGCGTCGCCCGGTCCCGGCCCTGGCCCCGGCCGGCCACAGGGGCTGCAGGGCCCTGCTGCAGGGTGGCCGTGGGGTTCCCAGATGGACCGTCGGCCCTGGACACTCCTGGCACCCCAAGCTGCTCTGGGGGATCAGTTCCTGCACAGAGCCCTGCGTGTGCACATCTGCAGCACAGGGATGCACATCCCAGAGTGGGTGATTCTACCCCACAGCCCAGTTTGGCAGCTCCAGCCCCTTCTTTCCCACCATGGAACCACACAGGGACACCCACTGAGGTGGGATGAGTGGGGCCACAGTTCTGACACCCATGGAAGTAGATGTGATCCCATCCCCTGCTCCCAGCTGAGATGCAGGACAGTTTGTAAGGACCCAAAGCTCTGGGGAGTGGATTGGCCCTGCCAGGGCCGAGGGACACAGAGACAGGGCTGCTCCTGGTCCAGCACAGGCCATGGCAGCCAGTTCCATCCCTCCTGCGTGGGGTCCTTGTCACCCCCATGAATGCATGGCACAGTCTGGGTGTGCACGTGTGTGTCCACAGCGTCCATCCCCGGAGCAGCACACATTCCCCATGTGGGCCTCAACCTCACCCCTGGGGCACCCACACTACCAGCACAAACAGGGGCCCTGCAGGCAGCACAGGGAGGGAGGGGGAGCAGGCAGTCCTCAGCAATGGCACCTGGCAGCACCCCCAGCAGCAGCAGCAGCAGCAGGTTCTCCCTGTGACTGGGTGCAGCGCAGTCCTGGCCACGGCACAGCCCAGGATGGGAGCGGGCAAGTGGGCAGAGGGCCAGGCCACCCACTGCGAGCCAGGAGCGAGCCAGGAGAGAGCCAGGGAGGAGGCAGAGCTGGGGGAGCAGCGGGTCCATGAGCAGTAGTCAGGGTGGGCGTGGGGAAGGGGAGCACCGGGACAGTGCATGGCTCTGATCTGCACGCCCGGGCGGTGCAGGCTGTGAGGAACGGGGGTCCCCATCCCCCAGTCCGGGGTGGGCAATGGGATGCACCACACTGCTCCCAGCACAGGCACCCCGTCCTGGGCACCGCGTGAGGCCAGGGCTGTGTGTTCCCAGCCGGGGCGGGCAATGGGCCCGGCCACGCTGCGTGGGAACCAGACGGCCCCTGGGCACGGCTGCGGCGTTCGCTTCCTCCCGCGCCCCCGGGGACCGCGCAAAGGAGGGGGCTGAGGTCAGCCGCGCTTGCCGCCGGCCGCTCCAGAGACGCCAGCATGATGTAGGCGCTCAAATATTGTTTTCCACTGGGTAGGAAAAAAAATAAAAGGGAGAAAAGAGAGACCCAGGGTTGAGTGGCCGTCCTCGATGACGAAGGGCGGCCCCCCCCTGCCCTGCCCGGGGCTGGGACACAGCCACGGCCCAGCAGCAGCCGTCTGGGGGCTGATAACAGGGCTGACGCGGCCGCGGTGCTCCCGGTCCCCGAGTGACGGCAGTGTTGTGCCTCCGTGCCAGCGTGGCCTCTGCGGAGACCCCCAAGATTGGCCAAGCTGGGGTCCCCCTGGCCTTGGGGGGCCGGGGGAACTCTGCCACAAATCTGCTCCCCACAGCAGCATGGGGAGCTCCTGTCAGCCCTACGTCCTGAGGTTGGCTGTGCTGTGGGATCCAGGCATTGCTGCCCCTGTGGAGCTCCCTGTCCCAGCCTGGAAGGAGTGCACAAGTACAGACCCGCACTTTGCCAGCATCACTCTGGCCTTGCTCCAGTGCTGCAGAGGTGCTGACTTGGATGTTCCAGCAGCGTGTGGGAAGGGGCTGGTGGCCAGGTCCCATCCTGGGGCTGTATGAGGACCCCTGCCCATGCTTGTGTCCCGCAGCCTGACTCACGGGGGCAGGTCCCTGTGCCCAGCCCGGTGTCAACAGCGGTGACTCAGCTGGTGCCTCCTCACTGGCAGCCGCCCGGGGTGATTCAGGTCAGAGGAATCCACTTTCCTGGTCGTTCCCACCAGAGCTGCAGCCCCTGGCACAGCCCATCTCTGGGGGTGTCCTGGCCTCGAGGTCTGCAGGGACTAGTTGGGGTCCCAGCCAGGCACTGGCTGAGCCACAAGCAGAGAGAGAGAGGGGAGGAAGCCCTGACCCCCCACAGCAGAGCCCCCACACTGTGCCACAACCCCCAGAGTCTCCCTGGCATCTCTCTGAGGTCACACTGGTGCATGAGCAGGGCCTCACAGTGAGGCTGGTGCCACTTGTGCCATATGTTGCACCCAGGGTGAAGCCAGCCACCTGGAAGGGTCCCAGGCACAGGGACATGACAATGAGGCTCCATTGGGGAATAACTTCTGTTGCAGCAGATCCCTCTGACCCCCAGGGAGAAGGTTCCTTTATGCTACCAGGGGATGGGGCTTCAGAGGCTCCTGGCCCCAGATTGTGTCAGGACCTTTTCCCCATTGTCT